GATAATAGTGATTATTTATCCCACTCCATACTGGCATACTACACTGTGTTTGACTTGATAATCAAATGAAGCTAAACAATATCGTTGTTTGAGACAAAAAAAACTATTGCTTGCCGAGATTATTCAAAAACAAGTTATCCATCCCGAGAATAACGAATGAAATACAGATCAAGCAAGTATTTGAATTTTGAAAGCTTCCCTGATCAAAACAAAAATACTTAACTGAGATGTTTATTATTCCAATACTAAACTATAATAAGGTGTATTTATATCTCCAGCATGGGTATGAAATGCCAAATCTGCTTAAATCGGAAACAAATCAGGTCTGCGTCTCAACCCAAATAACCAACCGTCACAATGTTGTTTATTCTCGATGACGTCCAGTAATTCCTTTTTAGTTTCTAGGAGCTAAAGTTCAACTTTAGCTCCTAGGATTTAAAATTCAACTTTAGCTCCTAGGAACTAAATATGTTGCCTAGCAACATACCTATTTTTGTGTCAGTAATAGAAACGTCAATTTAAGAGCTAATTTTGGTATCAAAATAAACGACTTTTGTGTCGGTTGCAGAAAAAATATGATATAATGAATTAGTCCATGAGCCGGCTGCAAATTTCGACCGTCATCTGATAACGAAATGATACACAGGGTGGTGCGAAATTCGACCGACAACGCTTGACAGGTGATAGCCCTCACGATTTAATGATCACTGAAATACGAACATACGATCTTCAAGTGTTCAGTTCTCGAGATACAGGGCGTTGAAGTTGAGAAATTAAAATAGTTTTTTCGCAATATCTCAAGAAAAATGTAATAAAATGCATTCAAATTCGAAATATGGTTTCATCTTTCAATGGTGAATTTTTTGACCAGAGACATTCCGAAAATTTTATCCAGAGGTGCGCTACAGAGGGTTGTGATAACTTTTCCTTCTATATTTTCTACGTCATTGATGAAATTTCAATTATTACCAATTTCCCGAATTGATTGTTCAATTATGTTGAAAAAATGCATCACCTTCAACTAAGCTAAAATGAACAATTATTGAGATATTTGACCCAACATAGAAGTTTGCAAAGAAATTTTTCATCCTCCTCATTCGTAGAAAATTAAAAAAAAAATTAGTTTCATCTTTATTCGTAGAATAACTATTTCTGTTCAGCTATGAATAGTATCTAATCTACTTAACACCAGAACAATATTTTTGCAATGTTCTACTACTGAAAATGATGAAATATTACTATGCAATCTTCTATTTTGGGTCGAATATCTCGAGAACTGTTAATTTCAGCTCAGTTGAAGGTGATGCATTTTCTAAACAGAATCGAACAATGATGTCGAGGAATTCGAAATAATCGAAATTTAATCAGTGGCGTAGAAAATATGGGAGGGAAAGTTGTAACAACCCCCTGTAATGGGCGTGTACACCTTAGTAGAACTTTTAACTCAAACCATGTTTATAATGATCCTTTTATACATAAATAATGATTGACGACATAATTCGATCGAAAAATTAACTGGAATGTTTTATTTTTGGACATAAATGATAGTACCTTCTGAAAACGGAGACCTTCTTATGACGTAGAAACCCCATCTCGCCATATATATATATATATATATATAAACCATATATATCTACTACTGATATATGAATCATAGCTCTCCTCAAAGCGGGACCCATTTCTGTCTCTATAAAGGTAATGAAATCGACCAATAGGCGTTGATACCGACGTAGGGAAAAAATAATAGGAAATTTGTCAAACCAATATGGCTGTTTCCATCCTTCACTTTTCGTTCTCATAGATTCAAAGAGTACCTCTCATTTTGGTCCCATTTTTGTTGAGATATCGTATAGGCGATGCGCCATATATAGAAATAGTAGATATATGGTTGAAACTGACACTCTCCTGACACTTATTACTGTTGCCATATCATCCAAACAAAATATCCGAGAAATCGAAATCGATATTGAAATATCTTTCTATATCCACTACCACTACTGCAGAAAAATATATTCGAGTTGTCGATTGTAGGTTGAATCATTGGAGTATAAACAATCTCTAGACAACGAAATGTCTCAATCTCAAAACCATTTGCACCATTACAATTTCACAATAATCCAATACATTTCATAAACATAGCAACATTGTTTTGTTGACCCGTTCCACATGGAGCTGCAAAAAGTCAATCTAGGTTAGAATTGATTTGTCAGAAATCATGTATCATTCATCTCTGTCTGGAATAGTCTTGTTTCAGTATTAGGGTTTTGACGTCACATCATCGCCTCGTTTTCAGAGGTCCGAAAAATCGGGGATTTCAATAATTTTTTATAAAACGTAGGGAGCTCACAGCAAGAAACGGTTTGCGGTGGTGAGCTAGTTTGGGTGAGTTCTATCGAATTATAAAATAACATTTTTTTGTGATATAAGCCCATTATTCTTGCGATATTGCGAAACAACTATTTTTATTTTTTAACTTCAACGCCCTGTATCTCAAGAACTGAACACTTGAAGACCGTATGTCCCTATCTCAGTGATTATGAAACCACGAGGGCTATCACCTGTTAAGCGGTGTCGGTCGAATTTCGCAACACCCTGTATATGTCCTAAAGACATATGTAACACATTGTATCTTATCGAACGGCACCTGTGAGAATCACTTTCTTGAACAAAGTGATTGAAAAATCGCACTTTCCTGTGCGTTGATTTGCACTAAATTTCTCGATTTGATAGCGAAATAAGAATTATGAGCGTCGATATTTCCAAGAATATTTCGCCCCCCCCCCTAAGGATAATATCCGATGGACCAGTGTTGTGGTCGCACAAGGAGTATTCGAATTCCCATGTAAAGTTTTACACTGGTCCATCGGATATTATATGTAGAGCGGGACGAGATATTCTCAAGAAATATTGAATAGATCAGTTTGAGTAGCGGCATGAACAATAAGAATTATGTTTATTTTTGTCTTGAGATTGGAAACATTGAAATTCATAAAAACAATATAATCATAACCTCAAATTTGTGATGGCTTTGGGTCTTTGGGGCTATGGCCTCAGTGCTCGTTTCATTGGATCAAAATCTCATCCCATTTCGTTAAAATACCGAAAGGAAATTTCCGAAATCGATTCCGATCGCGGCTTGATCGAGATATAGAATAGGAAATGAATTCGACTTCGAGTTCATCATCGTATCGAACGACAATCGACGATCGTGAAACAGAATCTCCCTACTGAACTTCGCATTGTCATTCTAACATTTTGTCGATATCGGTTTGACGCTGGCGACACATATCCGCTGCTGACAGTTATGACCCGGCTATTTACCGCCTGTTTACAGGGAAATATTCGAACTCTAAAATTTGATCAACTACAAATATATGCAGTTGTGAATCTACATTAGATTATTTTTTTTCGATACATCTATATTTTTCTTCTTCGTCAAACATTTTCCAAATGAGGTGTCACTGACTATCTATTGAACTTTTCTCTTAGGTTTCTGATAGAGATATTTTTGGAAAAAGCAACAGTTCTACCATTAAATTATTTCCATTTGTCATGCCTCATATTTTTTTATGCGGTTCAAATCATATAACAAGGAGGTGAGTCTTGAAATTACCAAGAAAACATTTCCTTATACCGCTGGAAACATAGAACTGGGATAAAATTCATTGGATTTTGTTGGGCCAGGTTAAACGTTTAGCCAGCGGTCTTCGGTCTGCAAGCTGGAGACCATACCCTATACTGATGGGAGCTAAAGAGCTCGAAACCGGTCTGTAGGTGTCGTTGCGTTAACCTGGCTAAATCGAATTCGATCAGCGTTAGGAAAGAAACACTTGCATTAGTATTTGATTATACGTTTCGGTGTATTGATTTCGGGAGGATGTAATTCTATCTTCTGTTGTGGCATTAGCCAGGAAAGTAGTTTTTTCTCCCGTCACCTACTATTGTTGTTTATTTTATGAACATTCGTGGAAATGAATTCGAGCTTTTTTGTTATATACTGTCTGTAGGTTATATGTGAATATTCTTGATGAATCAGTTACTTTACTTATTATGTATATGATCAAAATATTATCTCTGGCATATCCGGCATACTGATGGAATCAAAGAGTCAGGAGCAAATATTTTGAAAATAATTCCGGAAACTATGATAAGGATTCTTGATAAAAATCATCAGTCTCCTCGTCCATTATTCATAGTCAAGTTATTCCCATCTCTGGCATGCCCCTTCACATGTTTCTTCATACTGCTAGAATCAAAGGACCAGTAGCAAATATTTGAAAAAGATCCCGGAAACTATGATTGAAAGCATAAGTTTATGGATTCTTGATAGGAACCATCAATCTCTCCGTTCATTATTCACAGTCACCTTTATTTCCCATCTCTGACCCGCCCCTTCACATGTTTCTCCATACTGCTCTAATCAGATAATAAGGAGTAAATATCGAAAAAAAAATCCAGGAACTAGTACTGAAAGCATTGGGTTCAAGGATTCTCAATTGAATAACATCAATCTCCCTGTTCATTTTTCATAGTCAAGTTATTCCCACGTCTGGCACCCCCGTTCACATGTTTCTTCATACTGCTTTAATAAGAGAACCAGGAGTAAATATCGAGAGAAAAAATCCGAAAACTAGTACTGAAAGCATTGAGTTCAAGGATTCTTAATTGAAAATAACATCAATCTCGCCGGTCATTTTTTTATAGAAGTTATTCTCTGACATGCCCCTTCACATGTTCCTTCATACTGCTCGAATCAAGAGACTAGGAGCAAATATTCGAAAATGATCCCGTAAACTATGATTGAGAGCATTAGTTCAAGGATTCTTGATGAAAACCATCAATCTCTCCGTTCATTATTCACAGTCACCTTATTTCTCATCTCTGGCATGCCCTTTCACATGTTTCTTCATACTGCTTCAAGAACCAGATGTAAATATCGACAAAAAAAACGGAAACTAGAACTGAAAGCATCAAGTTCAAGGATTCTTAATTGAATACCATCAATCTCCCTGTTCATTTTTCATAGTCAAGTTATTCCCATCTCTGGCATGCCCCTTCACATGTTTCTTCATACTGCTGGAATCATAGAACCCTCTCCCGCACACCGAACAATAGAAAGCAGTCTCTCCCGTGTGCGTCCGTACATGCGCCTTCAAATTAACGTTCTGCCCGAACTTCTTCCCACAATAGCTGCACTGGAACTTCTTCTCCCCCGTATGCACCATCCGATGCCTCGTCAGATGGGTTTTCTGTTGGAAAGTCTTGTCGCACTGGTCGCATTGGAAGGATCTTTTGTCGGTGTGCACAAGCACGTGCCTGTTGTAGGTGCTGCGCTGGCGGAAGCTCTTGCCGCACTCCTTGCACTCGTAGGGCTTCTCTCCCGAGTGGATCAACGAGTGCGTGTCGAGGTAGACCTGCTTGGAGAAAACCAGTTACATACATACGTATTTTCGTCTGTGAAACATGAATTTCATAATGAACGAGAGAACGGACTCCATTTAAAAAACCCGAAAATCTCGCGCCAAACAAAACGCTAAGGCGTCCACTCAAGTCTCTGAAGCAGATTTTAAGAAGTTAATTTTTAATCTAGTTGCTTCTTGTATGTTCCTCAATTGACTTGGTAATGAGTTGTATAGAACAATTCCTGTGTGAAAAATGGATTGTTTGCCGATATTCGACTTATACGTATTTGCTTTTAGTAAATTTGATTGTCTTGTTCCATGATTATGTAATGAATTGATTTCATTGAAATTTAAATTCGAAATTTTCAATTTATATAGGACAAATTGAATAAAACAACATACTTTAAGTTTGTATAGTGATGTCAGATCTAATAAATGTCTAGGTTTGTATAAATTCATATTTTCTGATTCTTTTGTTGTCAGTTGTATTATTTGTTATCTGCAGTAAGTATTCAATTCAGAAAATGCATTCTACAGAGTGTTTCGAAATTCGACCGACAACGCTTCACAGGTGGTAGCTCTCGTGATTTAATAAATAATGAGGCAGGAACATAAGGCTCTGACGTGCTTAGTTATCGAGATACAGGGTGTTAAAGTTGAGAAATAAAAATAGTTTTTTCGCAATATCTCAAAAACGGCTGATTTTTTCTCATTAAAATTCGATGAGCAAATTAAAATTGAGAATCTCCATTTCCAGACGTCGAATTCATATTTGACAATTGATCCAGTGGCGCCATTAAGGGGGTATGATTGCATGATTTTCCAAAAAAACATGGGTTGCGATATGAATTTTGGAAATTTTATATGATTATATCAAAGACCATTCAATTTTGAATTAAAAATGCATACTTGATGGATCTCGATAGAACCCACCACTTTCGAGAAAAAACGAAAAATGTAAATAGTATTCCAATCACTTCATTCCCAATCGATCAATCAGATAAAGAAAATTCACCCAAAAAACCACAACAATATTGAAAAAACTATAAATAAGTATTTCGGAAACTAAGTAGACATCCTCAGTAGTCCTCAGTCCCACAGGTTATTTTCGGAGAAAATCTCAGTCAGCGAACTATTTTTTACTTTTCAGGACTTCTGAGGATGGCAATTCAGTTGCCGAAATACGTATCAAGAGTTTTTTCAATACTGTTGTGGTTTTTTGAGTGAATTTTTCTCATTTGATTGATCGATTTGAAATGAAGTAATTGGAAGACTATTTACATTTTTCGTTTTTTCTCGGAAATGGTGGGTTCTATCGAGATCCATCAAGTATGCATTTCCAATTCAAAATTGAATGGTCTTTGATATAATCATATAAAATTTTCAAAATTCATATCGCAACACATGTTTTTTTGGAAAATCATGCAATCATACCCCCTTAATGGCGCCACTGGAAGAATTGTCAAATATGAATCCGACGTCTAGAAATAAAGATTCTGAAGTTTGATTCGCTCATCGAATTTGAATGCAAAAAAATCAGCTGTTTTTGAGATATTGGGGAAAAACTATTTTTATTTCTCAGTTTCAACACCCTGTATCTCGATAACTAAGCACGTTAGACCTTTATGTTCCTACCTCATTATTCATCAAATCACGAGAGATACCATCTGCGAAGTGTTGTCGGTCGAATTTCGAAACACCCTGTATATTCTGATTTAAATAAACAATCAGAAATATTCTCACACTTGTCTATCAGAAATAGAAGATTGATAGGTACCTAGGTCGAATTTTAAAAAGTTACAGAACTCTGGGGAAAAAACGGTTTGCGACAGTGAATTAGTTTACTTGAAATCAATGAAATGAAATTGTTCACTAAAACAGGCCCGTACAAATCCTCACCTTCTTGGAAAATCCTTTGCCGCAGTAGTTGCAAAGGAAGTCTCTGTTTTCGTTGTGGATGACCATGTGGCTCTGCATGTTGTATTTTGAGGCGAAGACCTTGTGGCAGATTTGACATTCGGTGCTGGAGGTGGGTGCAGGTGGGTCGCCGTGTTGGGTGATGTGGGAGCGGTATTCGGTCTTAATGGTAAAGATTTCTTCGCACTGATTGCAGGAGTAGAATGCGTTGCTTTCGGTGGATTTCGTCGAGTGCATTTCGACGTGGCGGTCTTTTCGTTCTGGTCGGGGAAAACCTGGAAGTTTTCACCACAGAACTCATAATCTTTCTACTTTACGATCCCATTGTTTCATAGCAAAGGAGCCCGTACAAAAACATAGGAAATTGACTCTCGGTCGAATTGGCTGAAATTTTACCATGTTGTTGTGGGATGAATTGTTAGGAAAATATATGGGTTTAAAATAATAAAAAAATAAATAAAATATGTATTGATCCCTTCAACTATCGGTAACAATAGATAGGATACGTCAATGTTACATGAAAAGTAGGAATCGAATTCCTCAACAGTATAAATCATTCTCTGACTAGAAGTTCCGTAAGTATACACTTGAAAACAGCCGGGCATCCCGAGTTCTTTATTTCATTCGGCAGACAGTTGTAAAAACGGCAGCCTGCATTGATTGGAGATTTTTTGTAATAGGAGTGTTTAGGCTTGTTCAGTTTGATATTATTCTCTTTTGTAGTGTTGTATGAATGTGAATCACTATTAATAGAAAATGAATGTTTGTGGATGAAAATGTAAAAATTTCATCAAATAAATTGATGTTACCGTAAGGATCCGTTTTGATTTAAACACCTGTCTACATGACTGGCGACTACTTATGTCAAAAATGAGCCTCATGATTCGTTTTTGAGCAACAAAAATTCTTCATACTATAATGTTGTATGAAATTGTGGAATGAACAAATCTTTGCTCAAAATATTTCTCACTTTTGCCAATATGTAGATTTTTTTACAAACCATTTGTATTTGATCCTCCTATATGTTAAGTTACAATCTATAAGAGTTTTTAAGAATTTAGATGAAGTGGAGGTTTCAACGGTATTATTATTGATTTCGAAGGTGATATTAGAAGATATTTTATATTTTGTGTGAAAGTGAAAGATTATTACTGTTTTACCATGATTTATTATAAGTGTATTTTGAATGCAGTGATCCTCAAAATCTTTCAGAACCGAGTCTGCTTTTTGCTGTAGTCTATGGCAATCAGGATAAGAAACTACAATAGAGCTGGCATCAGCATACATAAAGACTCTACCATTTTTTATGTGATGAGGCAATTCATTAATATAGGATAGGATGATCAACGGACCTAGGTTTTGTATGCCTAGTTTCTGAGATATAGGCCGACAAAGTTCGTTGTGATTTTTCGAAAATTCGTAAAACATTCATCTCAACTTCGACATACGCCATTGGTGTCCATTTGAATTTCACCACTAATTTACACGCCGCTACTGTTCATGGTTCACTTACAGTCTTGCAGCTGATGCATTATTTGTTTGTCCGCCATATTCGATACGCAATCTAGTCGTAGGATGTGAAGATTACGAGTTCTGTGGTTTTCACTGACTGTGTTCGAGCATGTCGTCTCAGTACACAAGGTATACAGCGTGTCTCACTTCAAACGCCCTCCTCCCCCACTATATGTCAGCTATCAGTCGTGCAAATTTGAACCGGTATCAATAACCATCAATATGATAAGTTTTTCAGAGACGAACATCATTTTGTGCCGTGTGTTTTTATTGAAATAAAAAGGGGTAAATTTTTCAAAAAATCATATCAGGCATTTTTTTTACAGGAAAACTGACCTCAGTTTTTATAGTTCCAGAAATACAAAATCAATCTATATTTTATTATTCTAATGGTTCTCTATGCAAAACCACCATAATGTGAGTTTTAAGTATTATCATTTGAACCCCTTAAAATGTCTGCAGTAGAATGATAAAATTTATCTGAGGCAAACCAGAAAACATAATGACATTTTGATAACTTCACTCAGTAATATTGCATTCAACTCATAACGTGGTTAATTTTTTCCTCAGTATAAGGAGTCTTAAGTTAGCTTACACAAAAAATAACTCACAAATCAGGTAGAAATATCCCATAGAAAAACTTATCGTACATGTCGATTTCCATAAAAACCATGAAAGTTCCAAAACCTCAATTGACTCGGCCGTTACTTGATGGATATCCAAAACTTCGAAATTCGAAAAATCAGGGGTATACAAACTCTACTGTGGATCTTGTCTTAAGGTATATATCGGTCAGGCAGGTCGTACGTTTAATAAAAAGAAAACAAATTCTACATACGCCAACGATATATTGGAAGAAAACCATAGTATGGATGGTAATTTCGAAATTCTACACGTAGAAAATAAAGGAATGCAACTCAATCATTTTGAATAATTAGAAATTAACAAACTCAAAAATGTTGACATTTCACTTAACGATCAATTAGACCTCAATAGTTCACTACTGTTGAATTTGTTTTCTTAGTAGATAATAATATGTATCTGCTATCAACCGTTCCAAGTTAATCCGGTACACCGTATTTTAATGTAGATATTGCCTAATTTCCTCAAATGGAGGTTTATCGAACCTGTCCACAGGTAACTGATCCTTCAAGTTGGGAGAGTAGGATATATAAAAGTTGAGCAAGCCAAGGTTGGTTTAGTTCATTGTACCAGTATATCACCTGACGAAGCTACTGTGTTAGCAAAACATGCTGTGTGTTTAAGAATGTTGAGAAAATCTTATCGTTTGTTAAGTTTTTACTTTCGAAAAGCTTTAGCGAAAATCATACTTTGATATTGTTGTTGGTTTAGTTCATTGTACCAGTATATCACCTGACGAAGCTACTGTGTTAGCAAAACATGCTGTGTGATTAAGAATGTTGAGAAAATCTTATCGTTTGTTAAGTTTTTACATTCAAAAAGCTTTAGCGAAAATCATACTTTGATATTGTGGTCAGTCATGAGCTGGCCTATCAGTACTCCGAGGACAGGGAATGACATTGACTTTTGAGACACCCTGTATAAATTGGCAGAAAAATTTATACTTTTTTCCTGTCATGCATTTATTCATTTTTCTCTACACAACTGCCCCGTGAACAGTGATGGGAAAAAAAGTATTGTTTCACTTCCCTTCAAGGAACCAAAATGTCACTTCTATACATTCTCACAGGCTCATTTGATCTATGATAGTCATAAACGTATTTTTTTATGTTCGATGTTCAGATAAAACTTTGATCAGAGATCATGATATTATGCCATTTGAAAAAGAAGATGGCAGTCATCGACGTTACAGTTGAAATTTAAAAAAAAATATGATTTTGAAATCAGATAATTATTGATAGTGGCGCTTTAGCTTGGGAAGTTGTTTGAAAGGCAGTCTGTAGAAAAATATTCTGGAAATGGAATGAGAAATGTATATAGCAATAAAAACAATACTATGTATGAAGAGTATTTACAAATAGAACAACCTTGGGATGAACCATACAGCTTGAGAGGTCCTGGTTCTATCAATAAAATACCCAAGACCCAAAACAATGCAGCCAGGAAGTAGCTGATGAAAAGAACTGAAAAGTTAAGTGATTCACAGGCATTTCAATTTAGGTTATTGAAGAAAGATAAATGTCCCTTACTTACCAGAATTATTGTAACTGAAATCTTCCAATCCACCAATGTTTTCTTCCCTATTTTCAGATGCTTCCTCGACTGTTTTCACAGTTCCATCCTCCCCATCCCCTTGCAAGACCTTTCCCCCTGTATGTGTACTCTCATGCCTCTTCAGATGCGACTTCTGGATGAACCACTTGGAGCAAAACCTGCACACGTATGGCGTATCACCAGTGTGACGTCTCTCGTGATCCACAACATTGCTTTTCTGGGCGAAGGTCTTCTTGCACAATCTGCAGTGGTATGGTCGCTCGCCGGTATGAATCCTGAGGTGTGCCTTACGAGCGCTTTTCAGCCGGAAGGTCTTTTCGCAGAACTCGCATTGGAAAGGTTTTTCCCCAGTATGGAGTTTGCGGTGATTGTCCAAGTGAAATCGCTTCGTGCACACTTTGTCACAAACATCGCACTGGTACTGCTTGGTGTGTATGGGCAAGTGGTCACACAGGGTTTTCTTTGTGGGGAACTGTTTGCCACAAAACTCGCATGTCAAGCTTTTGTCATCAGTTTTCTCCTTTGGTAAATCAATGTTCAGTGATGTGTCCTCATTATGCTTATACATATGTGTTTCCAATAAAGATTTACTTGTAAAGGACTCACTGCATTTTTCACATCTATATAATTTTGTTGCAGTATTTTTGTGCTTCTTGACATGTTGCTGATACAATCTGGAAAGTTTGAATGACTCTCCACAAATATTACATTCATTTTTTTCACCAATTTTATTGTCTCTCCAGTATTCGATTGAACTCGTACTAGAAGAATTGTCTTCAAGATTTATTGCTGTTTGTGTCTGGGATACTTTGCAGTCATGTTGCTTTATCAAGGAAAAAGAAGGAAATTCTGCAATATAAATTAGTGTGCATTCAACAAGAAGACAAGAAGATTTCGAAAGGACTAGTCTAGTAAACAGATTTCAAAGGTACGTTTTTCAAAGGGCGAGTGGACTTATGATGAATTATTGGCTTTCAATTACTATGCTGTGACGTTAGGGACCTAAATTTGTTTTTGCAATACTCCTCACACTTTTTTTATGTAAATAATGAGTGTATGCGTTGTTCGAAATTGATGAATTTCGGAGCTCATTTCAAACGTATCGTCATGGCCACTATTTGGCGATACATCGAATAAATGGTGACGTCAGCTTTTATGCTGTCTCGTTATTGGACAGATAATCTTCCATTCCCACTCACGAAGCAAGGTTGTCAAGAAGATGTGAGAGTCCTATCGTTGAATGAAACATAATAGGAGGAACCCATGATATTATAGTTCATTCTTGACTGTTTCGAGCAACCAGCATGTCCAAATATGTCTAATAATCCATAACAAAATTTTATGTTAATGTTGGAGACTTGGCAACATTGTGCTGAATGCTGAGAAGGGACAAGACCACGCCCACAAGTCGTACGCGCGGTGTTGTAATTACTATTTACACAAAAATGTATTATAAGCAATAAGCCACAAATCATAAGGGAACATTTTGAGACAATTGATTTTGTATTGCTAAATAGGAATATTACCAATACATAGTTGAGAATTTATTAATGATACTCGCGGTAAATTTCTATCCGTTTGAAAATTACCGTGGCATTATTGATGATTTCAGCACCTAAAAATCGACCGAAAAATTCTAAAAAATATGAAATCGGAAGGTATTTGAGTGATGATTCTATTTCAGAAATATAAAAAAAATTAGTCTACTTGCCTTCAACTGCCAGATAAATATGAACCAGGTGGTTATGGAAGTCATATGTGTATCTGTATGTATGTTCTAATCAATTATTTTTACATTCTAATCAAGAAAATGTTTGATGTTCTCCTCGGAAATTGTAATGAAGTAAGATGTGGAGTAAGATGTATTGATATCCAAAAATCAACATCATTACCCAAAAAGTATCTTCTTACTCCACATCTTACTTCATTACAATTTCCGAGGAAAACATCAAACATTTTCTTGATTAGAATGTAAAAATAATTGATTAGAACATACATACAGATACACATATGACTTCCATAACCATCTGGTTCATATTCAACTGCCAGATAAATATGAACCAGGTGGTTACGGAAGTCATATGTGTATCTGTATGTATGTTCTAATCAATTATTTTTACATTCTAATCAAGAAAATGTTTGATGTTTTCCTCGGAAATTGTAATGAAGTAAGATGTGGAGTAAGATGTATTGATATCCAAAAATCAACATCATTACCCAAAAAGTATCTTGATTTATGGAAAATATTATTTCCCTTTGAAATATCCGCCAAAAATGATGAAGTGTTATAGTATAACAGCAACAATGAATAGAATATATCTGATTTTGAGAATCAAAAATGGAGTACATTCAAGACATCAATTCAGATTAATTGATCAGTTCTACTATTGAAACTTGAAATACATATGTTTATTGATGAACTACCTCTGAGACTTCCTCATAAGTACTATACTGTGCAAAGAAAATGATCTCTTGGATCCCAATAAGAATTAATATGAATAAATTCATCTAGTGAGTAAATAAATATACTATGTATGCAGATGCTACAGTACTTTTATATGAGAGTAAGAATCCTTCAAATAAAAACATATGATAATTGAAGACTTGAAAATATTTGAAAAATGGCTCCACTCTAACCATTTAGTGTTGAATACTAATAAAACAGAATATATGATTTTTCAACAAAAAAAAATGTACCTCAATCATAATTTCAAAATGAAAAATGAACTATTGAAACAAACTGATCAGATAAAATATCTTGGTATTTGGTTTGATGACAGGTTGAAGTGGAACAAACCGTTATTATATCTGGGGTAATGGACAAACATATTGATGTTTTGATAAAGAAAATATCTCCAATTATTGGTGCATTGAGAAGGGTTCAACTTGAAATCAAAATTGCGAACATGATTCTCTACTCTCATATACTGAGTAGAATCAACTATCTAATAAATGTTTGTGGATCTTGTCAAAAATAATTTCAATTAAATATCAACATTATATAGAGAATAAGTGAAAGTACTGTATTGTCTTTCATTTGATACACCAACAATCAAATAGATATTCTTTAGATGGAATGTATAGAATTGAAACTTTTGAAATTTCATAGATCATAAATGAAGAATTGAAGTCCAATATTCTATTGATAGGAAATTCTGAAATTCATAATCATGAAACTAGACTTGTTTCACCTTGACACCACTAGCTCCACACTCTGAGGCAGCTAGCTCCACACTCTGACAAAAAAGATTCACTCATTCAGCCATAACTGAGTTCAATTAACCACCTGCCAATATCAAAAAGTGCAAATTACAGGTACATTCAAAAATAAAAATAAAGAACTGATAAGAACTGATTATTACTGAGCTCGTTACTGAGCCTACTGTTTTTTTTTACAAATATTATTCTTTGTTGTTAAATTTATATAGTTGTTGATGTATTTTGAATGATGAAATGTTCACTATAGGTGTACTTCCTTATACCAGATCCTATTCTGTCTGGAATAAGTTATTTGTTCACTAAATAAATAAATAAAACATGGGAATTTGATACAAGATTGAATCATAAACTATAAACTAACCTTTGCTACATAGTTCACATCTTAAAGGCTTCACCATTTTATGAACACACTTATTATGTCTTATCAAACTGGAAATCAATTTAAAGGTCTTCCCACAAAGTGTGCATACATGAGTTTTTGTGTCTGTATGTGACTGTAAATGGTTATTCAAGTTTTCTTGGTTTGGGTATTCCTTATCACAGAGATTACACTCATAAGTCTTTATATCTTCTGCATAGTCATCAGACTCTGTTCTGAACAGAAGGTCTGGTTTGACCTCAATGTGTAACTCATTTTCTTCCTTGGCAAAACTGTCATTGGAAATCTCCACATTTTCTTGGACCATTGCCCATTCTTTATCTTCACCTTCACTATCAGAAGATTCTTGTACAGAAGAACTTTGCTTAGTTTGTTTTTCAAAGACATGTTGCAGTTTTGCATCACTTGTTTTAGAGAGTTCTATGAAAGCTGATATGTTCTGTAGCTGTTCAATACAGTCACTGCAGATACTGATAGGAAGATTCCCATTTGGATCCACCTACAACATAATAATCTATTTATTCACAAAAGGAATATGTGATAGAGACTGCAATTACCTTGATACTTGTAATCTTATGAAACAATTCAGATAATGTGTGATCTAAAGGTTTCACATCAGCTCTAGCCAAACAAATTCGGCAAATGATAGGGAAATCCAAAACAGAAAGAGCAGTTTCCATATTGTATACCTACTTCCTACTTGACACCACCTGACACTAATTCTTGAGAAATACAAGTACTGAGCCAGACTTCCTCTCCCATTTACTGTATCTCAAAGCTAAAAGGTTCATTTCATAATGTGTTCCTTAAATCATGTTGTGAACCACTTGGTGAACCTCATTTTTGTTCCAATAAGAATTGTACCTTACTGAAAGCATGATGAAAAGCTTCTGTGAACGTAGGTATATATCATAATGAATACTGGATGATATGTGAATAGTCAAAGGAACATAATTCCAATTCTGTTTCAGATTTTACTGTTAAAATGTACCCTTTAAGCTAGGACTGCAGTCAAACAACTCTTCTAGTGTTAATATATGATTTTAACATTTCCTGCTAGTTCCATGTATGTTTCCATGTTTTTCTATGCTTGAATACAGCATCTCACGATTTTCAGGAATCAAATTTGCAAATTTCTACATGAAATTCAGAAGCTCCATTTTTTTAACAGTTCATGTTTTTGTTTTGTTTTCATACTTTAACCTTTAACTTTGACATTTTGAGTTTATAGTAGTGGCTACAAAATCTCTGCCGTCAAAACAACGAATCAAAATAAAAAACAACCCGTCGACGTTACATTTGCTTGATAATTTCATCATATATTTTCTTGGTATTTGAAGTGTGCATTTTTAGTACGTGTTAGTACTAAATTGAATCTGACTTCGAAGTAGCAGGTCAAAATATAGGAATCATTGACTTTCATGATATATGAAGATAATAAAAGTTATAAAATATATTTATTTACATGAAGAATATTATTTTACAAATCTTATGACATTTTGGAGTCAGTACTCCAACATATTTGAAAATAAATACTATACAATTATTAAATAAAATTTTTGATTGAGAAAGATCAGAATACTTCTTTTCGGAAATTAAAACCATGTTGATCACATTTCACTCGTAATATTCTGGCCAATTGCGGGGGACCACAATAAAAAACAGTAATTTTGCCCTTCCTCTGGTCCGAGATCTGTTTGAACACCTTATCCCAATTTGGCCTGCCTGCATTGGTACGAGTTTTGAGCCCAGTTATCAGATCTCTTTTTTCCTAAAAAAAAGTAGATTATTCGAAATTCATTCTCATATATCTTCCAAATATCACATCAGAACCTTTTCATGTAGTAAATCCAATGCGAGCTGCAATCCAACAGCTTTCATATCACTTTTTTGCAATGCACTGGTGATATACATGTGCATTTCCAAAAATCGTTCCATTGCTCCTCCAAGTTCTGCCTGTTCTATTTCAAGTTGCGATAATAAATTGACGAACCATTCGAACGATCTCTGATCTCTATTTATCCAGAAGAAATCGACCTGAAAATAAAATGATTGGTGAAGTGGTGAAGTGGGAGATTTTGTCCCGTCAACGATATGTTAGACACAACGTAATTCCCAGCCTATCAATGAGCTCTAACAAAAACAATGCATTGTTGGTTGCGTGTGTTTACGGCGAATAACCAGTCAGTGAGTCAGTGGGCCAGAGCTGTCACTGCTGTCTATAGTGTCAATGTGTTGTTCTTGTCAGTTGTCACTACTTTTGTAATAGATCTATTCAGTATTCATTGTAATTAGATCTAAGTAGAGTCACTGGATGGTATTAGTTTGATAAGAGTTCGGACACAGCTGAACTTTTGTCCTTTTCTATTTTCTATAATACAATGGTTTAGGTGAATAAAAGAATAAGAAATATATTCGGCTCTTTGTCTTTTCAATTTCCCTAGTAGTGCCTGATTGTCAGATACGATTTTAGAGGTTATATTTTCTGTCAAATCAATCATAGCCGTAGATGGACAATGGGTATAGGGTACAAACACCCAATTCAATTTATAGTGATACACTTCTAACAGAACAACTGTTATATAAATGAAAATAATGCATGTAACAACATTTTAATATTAGAAAATATACACATATGGATGAACTTTTATAGCTATAATTCCTTATTATATGTGAAACTGTACTCCAGTGATGAGTATAAAACATGATAGATAGATATTCTCAATATACAGGAAGTAAGAAAAGTACTTTCAAGTGAAGCATTCCTGAGACAATTATAAGAAATAAAGTCTATATAAGCTTTTGTGTCCGGAAATGCATCATTTCGTAGATACAGAGTGCTGAAATACAAAGAACAAATCATTTTTCGATAAACATTTGATAGGAAAAAAGTAGTTTATTTTGACGAGACCTACCAAATACTTGGTTTTGTAAAGTTCTCAGCAACTCCACTTAGCGCCCTAGGAGCTAATAAGTAACATGGATCGATATATAGAAAATATCTCCAAAACATTATATCCTCCAGCGTAATTAAGGCCCTTATAATAATTCCCTTGATAGGTACATAAATAACTATTCACTGTCCACTGTTGAATTTTAAATTTGGTCGGCACCAAAAACGCCATTCAATAATATATCACTCTGTAGTTTACTTGCTTTTCTTAGTTTCGTTTTTAAATTCTCAATTTCATTATGTAATTTTGCGATCATTTCCTCTTTTCCATGATCATTTCGTTTTGTATTTTGTGTGATGATAATAATGGAAATTTGTTCTCGAAATCGCCTGCTTTGTAAATTGACGGAACAGCAGATTCTCACAAACAGAATTTGAAATCTTCTGTTTGAAGATGGGCCTAAAATATAGTTTCATTCTAATCAGATGCTGTTATAAAAAGTGAATTTTAATGAGTACCTCACAAATTTCGCTCGTCTTCAAATTGATTTTGCACCCATCAGGCCATTTCATATCTTCCTTCCATAAGCGAATGGTTGATATTTGTTTCGGAAAATTGAATAAATGATATCCATTTTCTTCAGAATTGACACAATTTATTACACAGCAAGTAATTTCCATAGCTGCTTTCATCTCGAATGTATAATTATGAAATTTTATTTCAATTCTGACGTTTATAAAATGTATTGTCAAATTCAAACAATTTTGAATGAAAAAGCTCAGGACGACTATGGTGCTCTTGTCACAATGCAAGGTGTGAAACTTCATAAATCTAAACACTCAAAAACCCTAACCGTTGTCATTTCTGTGTCCGAACTCTTTATCAAACTAATAACATCCAGTGACTCTAGATCTAAGTACAATGATCTAATAATATATACTCTATATTATTAGATCATTGTCTAAGTATTATGGGTGCTTTTTCATTCCAACATTTTGTCATGCGCGTGAATCGAAGAATCCATCGAACTGTTGCAAAACCCATGGAATGTTGATGGAAATCCATCAAATGTTGAAATAAAATGCGCACTTTAAGATGAGGATTCTGACATGACAATTGACACATTTTAGGTATATTCATTGAAAAATTTGAATTCCGAGATTCTTGAGAGACTTTGGAAGATGGTGTTATTAGTGTAGTGTCAATGATGGAAGTAAGATAGTTGTATCTGTTCATGGCATGCATGACGTAAACAGAGAAAGTCATAGAAAAAATCAAGTTCAGCAGGTAGAGCAAGCACAAACGGATAGGCCTGTTTTGTCCATTGAACTCACCATTGAGTTCATTGGTTTTGTCACAAATCTATTACTATTTGCAGTTGGACCCAAAATTTGATGTTTCATGACTAAAGAACTCTAGATTCGTGATTAAGAGTTCTGTGCATTCTTGTCAGAAATGGTGCAAAAATGTCTAAATCGTGAGATATGGTTTGACAAGAATGACATTTATTATGTCGGACTGTCAATAGTGTCAATGTCCTAGCCAAAGAAAAACCGCTGTACTTTCTAGATTAGTTTCGAGAAGTTTATTTGAGTTTCACCAATTATATCAACTCGAGTTCCTGGTTTCCAGTGTATCATTCATTTTTTATCATCATTTCATTATCTGTTTTATCCTCATCCTACTAATATATCAGGTATTTGTAAGTACTAACCCATCTACAAATTATGCAGTATAGATAAAAACCATTTTGTGCTTTCTGCGGTATATTCGAAATGGTAAACACCGAGATAGAGGTGCTTACTGATATTTAATATATAAGTATAGGTAAAAAATTAAATTAAATCATATGGAATTGCAGATATACGTAGGTAGGAGGTAGGTAATGAATTGTACATTAAAATTCTAATTTTACCTTCCGGAGATTCATGACAGTGGGTGGTATTTCACTAGCCCAAGAAAATTTGCATTTGGGACAGGAGTGTCTGGCTTTCCAATACCTGTGCATAATAGATTGCAAGATTGATGCAAAAGGAGTAACTCCAATTCCAGTGGCAATCAGAACAGCGTGCTGGGCTCTGAATATATGGCTTGATGGAGCTCCATAAGGACCATCTAAGTAAATCTAAAAATTTCAAAATCTCACCAAGTAATGATCGTTGACTTTTCTCGTAGGCATCAATAAGATTTTGTTCCATTTATGATTAGGATTATTTAAGATAATTATTACCGATAATTTCATGAGTATAGGTACTATAGCGTATCCAACATAAGGATATATGTCTATCATGTGGATCTCGTGAATGGTTTCTCCGGAACGAACCGTCGTAAGAAGAATCTCTCAACGCAGTTTTGTAGAGCTTTAAAAGTGGCACTGAGGAAGTGTCTTTTGATTTTCTATATCTCTTTGAATATTTTCACCAAAAAATAAGAACGAAATCGACAAATTTCGGGTTTTTAGGTATATCTCCGGAACTTTTCAAGCGGCATATTGTTAGGCTTGAAAATGCGCAACTTTTTTTTCTAACTCAACCATCTTCGTATCTCTCGTCTCTAGATCCCCATGATAGACATCCTTATCTTGGACACGGTGTATACTAATGGGGTAGGTGAAAAAATCTTCAAGAGACATTTTCAAATAGTTGAAATTGAATGAAATAGTTGTGATATAGTGAATTGGATTACTCAAGCATAGGTGTCTATACCTATACTTACAGTTTCGAAATCATCGAAAATCATATTCATCTCACCTCTCTCAACTCCTCTCCTATACTTGTGAATATTGGTTGAAAATAATAACAGGTTAGGTTGTATCATGCTTGATTATTTCATATAGAATAAGCTATCATTCCAGTAATTTTTATCAGAGTTCGGGTTCAGCAGAATGTTTTACCCATTTTATTTCATAAATAACAAAAAAGGTTCGATTATTTCGAAAGGAATCGTAGGAAGTCGAAAAGTAGGCTTCTTGGACTTTTGTTGAGGTTGTGGACAGTTGTCAAAATGGAGCATTAGTCTACATAAAGTCGTATCTTTTGTGTTGAAAAAAGTATTCAATTTAATTCAGTAAGAAATGGTAGATTTTATAAACATCCAGATGTCTGGATCTTTCAGCTCCAGATTACCTTGTTTAGGTCTATTTGAAACTTGGAAATATTTGTGCACATATATAAATTTGAGAGTGTCAAAATTAAACAATAGAAACGAGAGCAATGCTATACCACGTAAAGATCTTATCAACTTGTTGGGTGAAAATGTGCTCATGAAAATGCATCGGGAATATCGACGATTATTCAGCACGTGGGCACTATATTTAAATCATAGAAAAGCATCTCTCTAGTTCAAAAATATGTATTAAGTCGTCTTGTTATTCAAATTCATGAATTTATAAAAGCTCTTTTTGAATTGGGTAGTTCATTTTGCCGAACCCTGTATTATTATTAGTAGTAGTAGCAGCATAAATTGACGAATACACATTATATCACATGAAACATGCATATATTTATTCACCTCTGTACCCTCCAAGTCGGAGATTTGAATCTTGATTTCCTCCACCAAAGCATTTTTATATTTTTTAGATGCGTTCTTCTCACTTATAGACTGCCAATAAGAATATGTTATTAAGATTCAAACGTTCTTGAAGTAGAGAAAATATTACCTCCAAAGGTTTTCCCACAGGATAGTTCATATGCTTCATGGGCATGGAGTTAGGTGAATATTGGTTCTCTTTATTTAGCACAGAAATTACCCTACCTTCTTCAGCTCGTCCTTCGGGACAGTTCCCAAAATTTGCTGAACTAATTTGGCGACCTAGATTGACACAATAACATATTTCACAATACGTAATCTGGTCAGAGTTATAAATATTTTCGAGATTGAAACTTACCAATGCTTCCTAAAGAATCGGTAGATTCTCTTTGTTCACAGTTCTCCAGACTTGGAGTTTTGAAAGCAATAATCGTTGGTTTATGCCTCATATACCTGAAACTTTGAGCTAAACTTTTATTCTGTGGACTTAAATAAGCTAAACCCAAAGATTGAAGTCTAGCTCTTTTTATCTGGCACTCGTTGAAACTTTTTTCTGACTCTGATCTCATATATTCACGTAAACTGAAAACAAAATAGGTTGAGTTACATCAGTTACTGGAGAAATTCTGGTTACCTACACTAACAGCCTCTCTCTTCTCTTAGCTTTCGTTTGCATATCGGGCATAGATAGTGATTTTTCAAGTGGTGCCTTATTGGTGAACAGCAATCGATGTAATTTCTTCTCTGGAGTTAGTTTCCTCGATCTAGAGTTGGGCGTCTCTGGAAAAGTTAAATCAAGTATAATTGATTGTTTCAAGTTAAGATCGTTGTCAAGCAGGATTACTCACCTGTGGTAGTACTACATGAAGCTTTATTAATATCCCCTTCACTCTGTGTCGTCTTAGACTCATCATTTTGAAAGGTTTCGTTGGAAAATCCAACTAGCTGTACTCCTGGTTTCTTGTTTTTATCTCTGTTAGACAGCGTCCTCGTGATCGTGGTTTGTATCTTCTTGAGAGCATTTTGGTTATTATTATTGAGGTTACCATTAGTGATGCTTGGTCTGGATTGTACTGCTGAAATTTCACCATTGTGCAATTTTTCTTGCTCTTTCTCGAAATACTCGTATAGTCTGTTGGTCCATTGCCCAACACCTCTTATGTGAAGCCACATGTAATCTAGAAATGTAACTTGTTACTCACTTTGCCAAAATATCCACACAGTTTCCCTACCTTCTTGTTCTGGAGCACTACTAACCGTAAAAGGATGCCACTCATATTTAGCTATGGCAGGAATATTGACGAAAACATAATCTCCTGGATGGAAATCGAATTGTCCAGGCCTCTTGATCACCAAATGGGTGACTTTAGATGGTAGTAACAGTCCAGAACTTATGTAAGTTTTTCCTCTTTCCGTCACTATGAAAGTGGACCGATAAGATCTCTCTAGGCAATAGGCTATCCCGGGAATTATGAACCATTTCCAAAAATTTGGACCATGGAGGATCAACAGGATCCAAAAAGGAACGTACATTAAGTGGGTATAGTAGAATATCTAAAATCAAAGTGATATATTATCCATAGCATGTTTACTTTTAGTTGAGAATTCGTACTTCGAAGCATCCACCTCGTCTCACGAAAGCTTGGGAACTTATGAAAATAGCGATCAAGATCACCAATAGTGCAATGCCAGTAGGGTTGGCTACACCTCCTATCAGTCCGAATAAGCCTGGTTTGCCAGTAAGCAACCATTCACTTGCGGTAAAGTTTTGGTGGTTTATCTTTCGATCATTCACCACTATCAAACCTGTAAGAAGTAGGTTCATGGTTTTTCTACTCATCATAATATGGATATGACGAACTTACTGAAATTACAGATGTGCATGATGGAATGAAAAATGCTGTAGCCAAATATGATTAAACCAGTGAGTTTATGAAAATAAATATGTTGATCCAGTGGTAAAACAGAACTGTAACCTCTTGTCCTCAAGAATGTTATACATTGCCTCAACATGAGAACTAATATGAAAGTACAATTGAAATTTAAGCACTGCCCTGAAAAGTAATGAGTAACGAATTAGTCTATGATTTCAGAAGAGATCACCCTAATTGATCTATGTCTATTGGTGCCTCACTCACCACATGCTCTGGCAAATATAGTATACCAGTTATGCTCGGCATATTCGATAGCTCTAGAAATGAAAAGTGCTGCATTGACTAGGAGAAATACTGCTAAAAATATTAAATAAACGTAGTTATTCTTAACATATGGCAACGTAAGCTGATATGGACGGTAGGATAGAACTTTCCCCAAGAGGGAAACCTTGGCTTGGGGTTTTGGTGGAACTAACCAGCGATCGATACTAGAAGAAGAAATATCATAAATAATCCTCAGACAACAGGAGACTCGATTTTCTCACCTTATTGATAGATTTTCTAGGAGTCCTCCATGTTTTTCGAGTTGATATTTGAGAGCTTCATATGTGATAGTACCTCTATTTTTTGTATCAGCATCTTCGAACATTGCCATGGTTAGATTGTCAATCTGTTCTTCGCTAAATTTCATTCCATTTTCTTCCATGCAAGCTCTCATGACGTGTTGTAATTCCTTGTTCTGGATCAAACCATCCCCTGAATCGAAAAAAAAATGAATAAGACCAAGAGAACACACAAGAATTTATTTTTATCACCATCTAAATCATAAACTTTGAAGAGGAACCGAATCTTATCGTCTGGTGTTTGACCTGCAAACTGATGCATTGCATCCAGAAACTCTTGCAGTGAAATCGATCCCGAGTCATCTTTGTCGAAAATTTGGAAGACCCTGTCTGTGAAAAATGGCTGAAAAGTAGAATAATCATATTTGCTATTTATACTATAGACTATTTATTCACTCATCACGACAAATCACAATGAGCCAGAGACTACGTGTCCTTATCGCGAAAACATGATCTGTCTTTCAATTCTGATTGGTCTGACAGCGTTCATGTTTTCAACGATGTAACAATGGATAGCAAATCAAAGTCTGGATGTTACCATGGACAGCGAAGAAAAGTCTGTTAGTTTGACGTAAAATAATTATGGCCGTACGTTCAGCATGAATCACTCATTTATAATAAATGCTTTTAATGCTTCGTGAACGTGAAATAGTCTAGCAGAATACCACTCTTTTCTGAATATCTTCTCATAATTATGTCTTTCATTGTCAACTCAATTGTGGTGCCGTACAGCAGTACCACTCGTCCTGACGGACTCGTGGTGTTGCTCGGCAACACAATTTTGTAAACAACGAAGCGACAGAATTTTCTCGAATATTCAGAACATCGTGATATCACTTATGATAACAGATCCGATCGGTTGATATGGTGGAACTTACGTTTTTTGACACAACAATTTTTCTAAAATCTTCTTTTTTGATTTCTGTGCCATCTCCAACGGTTTGTCGAAAAAGTTGTTCCAACCTTTCTAAGCTGCCCTTGTCAAATCCTCCACGCGGCCTGACAAAAATTATGAAAATTTATGGAAAGTACTGATTTAGGACAATATACTATTACCTTGTGTTCGTTATTGCTGTTAGAAATTCCATAACGGCATTAGATGAGATTACACCAGAGTTCTCCTCATCTACCAGTCGGAATAATTTATCTACGATCTGGAATAAGAGTGGATTTTTTTCTTTGAATGAAATTGTCAGAATGCATCAATATGATCTTACCCCTTTAGCATTGAATATTTGATAGAACTGATCTACATAAATTGGATTTTCTCCACACAAACAAAATGCGACACTTTCCAGTTGTTCAGCAAAATCGATCTGCTTCTCATTTCTGGAATAGGATAAAAATTCAACTATCAAAGATAATGCCTTCATGGATTTTTATATGACTCACGTCAAACGCTGTTTCAGGAATTCTATCCAGTCTTCTTGCTGCAGGTTTTGATCTCTTCCCTGGTCGAAGAGTTTGAAGATCTGTTCCAGAAGTTCCTGTAAAGAATAAGAAAGTTATGATTTCTGCTCTAATTGAAAACTAGGTACGATTTCATCATTCACAAGGTGGTAATTGCTTCATAAATATGTATAAATCCATAGACGTTATAATATGAACCATGAAACTCATAATTCAATAAAATCAAACCAACCTCCACGCTCATTTGTTCTTTATGAGGCTGCATCTCAGTATACATGTATATTTCTTCTTGTTTAGAACGAACAAATCTAATAAAGTATATAAACTGAAACATATGACATGCAAGTACCTATCTGTATAGGCGAAACAGATCTTTAGTGCATGTACGTTTTGCATTTCGATCCGGGTACTATATATATTCAATATCAATCATAATTCAGGAATCATTTCTGGTTTCTCGGGAAGTAGAGCTTGTATTGATTCGATGTATGAATCAATGAATGAATATCGAAACACCCCCCCCCATGCATGCAGCTAGAGGTGGGAAAATTATCATTCCATGTATCTCCTCTCGAACGGATTCAAAGTCTTGCTGGCGATAAATAGAAACACAAAAGGTTATAACGGCATTCCCATTGAGCTGCTCATCTCGATAAAAATCGAAGTGATTCTTATCCGTAGGTGGTCTGGGTGATTTCTATAGTACTGGGGGCTTCAACAGTATACCTATACTCGTTTAACACTCAATTCGATTCGATACCGCCAATTTCGAAAGGAGTAAAAGAACGACTTTACGGAAAAAATTAGAACACTTTTGAACTGTTATTCTTACCGCCGAATAAGTTCTATGTAGAGAATGAAATGCTCACGATCTCATGATCCATTTGACTCTTTAATTACCTACTCGTATTTATCAATTAATATAATGAGGAATATTTCCAGTGTCTATATGTTTCACGTTATCGATGAAATTATAAATGTCGTTATCACAGTAAATGAAGATTTGGTGTCTAGGTATATGTTTTCATTCTCAATGAAGTGTTGAACAAGCACTAGATAATTGAAGTCTCATCTGAATAGGTTTCATCGATTTTTGCGTCCATTATCATTATTGGAATATTACCGTATGGGCATTCCTTTATCGACATAAATTTCGTTATGGTACCCGTGTCGAGTACTTTCACCGACATTATTGGCCGCCCTCCACGCAGGAAACTCCGCAGGAAGTCTTGGTACCAACGCTGCAGGGTACCACTGCTACCACTTCTACATTATGTCGGAGCCACGCGAAACTGGTTCAGTGTTTATGGAAAGCTTGCAGGAGACGGCCGCGTTTTCGTCCATTTCAACATCATCATTACGAAAGATACTTAGTGGGTTCATTTCATTTCGAAACTTTTCACATTCTCAACACTTTTTTCTTGTTGTTATTTCGAGATGATGAACAGAGTATCAACTATCTCTGCTTGAGATTGATCTCGATTTGTAATTTGATACTTCCCAGTGACAAAAGTTTCACGATATCTATATTATGAAAAGTTATGCAATAATAAGATCTGATGAGATTCAATCATTAACCTGTGTAGAAGATAAGAAGTTTATCTGAGTAATTTTAACGTCTTCATGCTATATACTTAGAGCATCCAACAGTATGGCATGAGCACGTATACCAATGTAGGCAAATGAGATACACAGAAAACTGGAATCACTTTTCTGCTACAAGAAGGATTCTATAAAACAGTAGCTCTTCATCTGTTATAGAGTTCGAATTCAATTATTTCTTTGAAGAATGTACTGTCGTATTACAAGTTAACATGAAAAAGAAGTTGAGCAGAGATTAAACATCTGGAAAAATATTCAAGGTCTCAAGTAGGCTGGGATACTACTGGGTACATACAAAAACAAAATATCAAACGCACATTTCATCCTGAGCAAAAACACACTACATATACTAACAGGAGTCCTAACAGGGCACTGCCGGTTGAAGGGACATGTTAGGAAGCTCGACTAAAAGGACGCGGGTTCTGTGAGGAAGATGAGGAACCCTCTATCCACATACTTATGGAATCTTACACCCTATCTAACCCAAGGGCTACAAACCTAGTGGCACAGATTGAAAAGAATGGCGACAATGAACCTCCAAATGGCTGCCGTTCTTGGAATGTTCTTTCGTGGTCAAGTCACTGAATAACTACAAATCTGAAAGGAATCCCCCATGCAGTAATGAATTTGCGCCTTCGAAGTGCCCATCTGATGTTAGGTTCAGATATTTGATATTTTCATTTCATTATCTGAATAATCTGAGACTTACGAATCCCAAAAGACGGATTCTAGTACTGAATAACCAAGGTACTGACGTATAGAGTTTCATGTCTGATTTAGATGTTTTGTGTTCAAAGATCAAAAAACAGAGACAGAGCATTGACAAAGTGGAATAGAATACGTACTACAGAACGAAGAAAACAAGACAAAACATCATCATCGTGTACACAATAGTTCTTTTGGGTTGCAGTGTATTCACACTATCATGAGCATCCTGCTTAAATCACAGCCATGATGCGATAATGCGATAACCCAAGTATTGGGTGAGTGTTTCAAACGAGGATGAATCAAGCATCAGCACACTCCTATATGCTGTCAAAATTTGAAAATAGAATCTCACATGGGAATCAGATTTTGGAAAAAATTATGGTTCTCAATAGCTAGTTTTCGATTCTACATTTTGAAATCAGTTCCACGTTTTCTAATTTGACACATAGCAGAGCTTAAAATTCAATCAGCAATAGCTCTGTTATTCTGGAGAAAACGAATTTGGATAGATTATTGATATGAACGCTTTCAAAACTGTCTCAGACAGATTTATCTCGACCGTATATGTCTTTGGTGACATTTCAATGAGCGAGCCAAGTAAAAGCACCCCATTAAGGCCAGCGCATGGGCATTCTTCACGACGGCATGCCATGTCATGAGTGCCAACCTTGTAAACAGGCGGTAATGGCTTTTTCAATTAAATTATAAGCCCAGTGTGTCTGCTTGCCGCTTCTGAACCGTTTCGATTCTCCTTTTTCCACTCACCATTTATAATCTGTGACTTGCAGAATCGGCATTTTTTTCGATTGCTCTTTTTGGAACGACCGAAACAGTCAACCCTTTGTGGAATTATGAAGGGTTGCCTTTTAAGGTTCTCACGTCGAGTTCAATAGCCAGTTGGTCCGATCAATATGGTTGGAAAGAAACATAGATATAAGCAGCCCGTGCAGAAAATGCACTACAAGGATTAAGGAACATAAATATATTTTATATCCATGTTGTATCCAGTTGGAAGTTCAGGGCATCAAGTTTTTTCTGCTTCAAATTTGGAAATATTCACGTTCATCGACCAAGCATGTGAATGTGAATAGAGCTGATATGTTAACGTATTATTAATGAGCTGAGAGTGAGCTATGTGATTGTATCGCTTGCAATTTGTATATTCACCAGGTCATATCTCACACAAAGAGTACCTGGGCATCAATTCCGGAACGAAAATGTATATTTCGGCAACCGTCCGGGAAGTGCTCACTTCCCGGGCGCTAGGCTAGGCCTAGAATTTTGTCTACTCGTCCAAAAAAACAGTATTTTTCGGACTTGTTACGTGAATTACTATTTTTTTAACTAACGAATATCGAACATACGAGTATAAGACCAATTACAGATAATATTTTGTTATTTGTTAGCTGATATCAACGAATAGGGTGAACGTATGTATTGTTGAATTTCGAAGGAGGCTTGTTAAAGAAATCGCATACAGTCATGCAATGCAACAGTCTCGAAGGCAATTGAGAAAATCGAACGATTTATTAGACGGATACACGGGGTCTCATAACTTCCATCCTTATCTTCCGGAATGTCGAACATAAACCACTTCTAATTGATAACAGCGACAGGTGGAATTCAAAATTTCCTATATGCGGATGACGTACTGCTCCCAGGCGACATCTTCTCGGCTACTGCGGGTGACAGGTGACAGCCTGACTAGGCGCTATTAAGATAAGCATCTATTGACGCTAGCGCAACTGCAACAGTAAATCTGTCATGTAAGTTCTTTCGCGCTAAACTAGATGCGTTTGGCGTTATCTAAACCGCGTACACCGATCGGGATTCATCGACCAGAAATCGATATGAAATTCCAATCGATTTCTTGAAGTACCTACGAAGTTTCTAAAAAGTACCATAATGCTCGGATTACGAATTGGTACAGTAGGTACAGACACACAGTAAATTTCCCTCGCGTAATAGGTCTTTTCATTTAGATGACAAATGACTGACTATATCTGTTTACATCTCGCATCCAACGACAGTGGCGGCCATTTTCACCGAAACACTTACACCACAGTACCACACTCCTCAGTAACGAATAAAGTAACGGTTTTTGGAAATAAATTATTATAATACAATTAATACACATCAGGCATATAAAAACAAAAATTCTATGTAATTATTGTTGTTTCTCAATGACGAATGCCCATGGTGGTTGACACTGTTGACATTTGACAGAATGTCAATAATACCCGCCATATTCGGAATGACCAATCAGCATTCTGTGTTGGAACTATGGCCAAAGAGACTTCACCTTCGCATCAAGCGCATGCGTCTCAAAAATATATCTAGATGAAAAGGCCTATTGAGATAACATGAAATGTTCACGATTATGAAAAAATCATATGCCTATTATACAAAGCATTAGTATACCTACTTCATTATATATATAATTTATTTCTTCATCATCGGAACGAAAAGTTCACACCAAACATTTATAGAAATTCTATTAATTTAGCAGATCGATATGCTCAATAATAAAAAATTTGAAAAAATGCATATAACATTGGATTCACAGTGAGACTGCTATTCTTCCTACAAGTCGCAGATCTACTGTCCCAAAGCAAACTCTGTTATTATTTTTAAGAATTAGAACATCAACACCATAAAATTACTAATTTTGAATAGGTATGTATCAAGCTCTAGTGTATATAAAGTAAATCTTCAGTAAAATTCAACGCGATTTGGCATTCAAAGCAGCTCGCCCGTGATCAGCATTTTTCTTCAACTGAGTATTTAGTATAATTGTAGCTGTAGTTAGAGGTTAAGATATAAGGATACAACCTGTACAAACATATCTGATATTCGTTAAGAAATTTCTGATAATATCTATATTTTAATAAATGAGCATCGTGAGTAAGGGGAGGTTCATATACGTTCACGATT